TTAGCAAATCGTAGAAAAAGATCTACGACATTCGAATGACATCAGATCATTTATCATCGTGAGACGATGTCGCGAAAGGGTTAAGTAGAGAGTACTGTCATTCGCACGAAGAGTGTTATCCTGGACAGTCGATTGTAAAACGTATTTCGAGATGCAGTTTGTCGCAGCCAAATCTTGTGTATTTCAATATTTAGAAGAATAAAAATTGCTATTTCTGTTCTATTTAAACATTTAATGATATATATATATATATATATAATCTATATTTTTTAATTCATTGAGCAAAAAAAAGTATTTGAAATAATAACATAAAAAATGAATTTAGTGTTTTTATGCTAATTTAAAAAAAACGTGTTATTTATAATCAATAAAATCAAACTCGAAAGAAAGTCATCTGTTGACTTATCGTATAAATGTTATATTTAAAAAATGTTATTTTTTATTAACTGATAAATTTGCTAAAATCAATTTTTAGTTCTAATTATATTTTATCGATCATTATCATAAAAAATTCGAGTTGTTGCTATTATTGCTGGTTCGATCACATTTTGTTCATGTCCTCGGCTAAGTGTGAAATTCAAGTATGGGATTACGTAACGTGCAGTTTTCTGCAATGTCGCATCTAAAAGTGATCGTCAGTCACGAACTAACCGAGTCACATCTTACAAAACTCGTTTTTCATTGACAAAGGGAATAAGAGGTTTGATGACGAGACGTTTATAATTAGCAAACATCTCGAGACTTGAGCGATCGAGAGAGTAACCGCTGGACACATCATCTTGGCACACTGCGTTCGACCACGAGGACGACCAACAGGTTTTTCGTAGCTTAATCCATCCAAGCGCATTCGTGATGCGAAACACTCGTTGTCTTCAATTGCAAGTACACCGGGTGTCTCGAAATTATTTATTACCCTGCCAACTGGCTGAAGACGTAAAAGGAGGTCTTACGTTCTTCATTCTTTGAATTCTTGCTATCGACGTAATTTCGTAATTTGAAGAATAAGATTCTATCAAAATCTTTTCTTTACGCAAGAGAAACGTTAAAAACGTGTTAGTATCTTCCAACGATAAAACATTTCTTCTTCGAAAATCGTAAATATTTTTTTCATTTTCGCAAGGATGCAGGTTTATGCGGGGCCATCGGGGATGCGATCGTTTTTTCATCGATCACACCTTAAAGAACGTTTTATAACATCCACGTGTTTCTCGCCGGCCTTCAACTACTCCTCATGTTTCATAATTAATATAGTAGAGTATGCCTAATGTCTCTTAATGTTAGCAGGTGGAAAACGTCATCGATATTCGATATCGACGTCAGCAGCGTTGAGAGGAACTGTTTACTCTGCGCTCAAGATGAATTGGCGAGAAAATATAGATAATTCTGAATGATGGGAGTTATTTTTTAATTAAATTTTTTCCTTTTCTCTTGTAAACACAAAGGAGTGCAAACGCACTTGCTTTTTTCCCCTGCTCTTCTATGAGGCTAATAGGCCAAGTTATATTCGCAGAATGTCGTCAGTGCATATTGTCTCGGACAGTATTCTCAGAATACATGTATTATATGATCCGAGATGATATTGTTTTCATCAAGTAATCTCAAGATATTCTAGATCTAATAGAATATTCTTGTAAGGATATTTTCGCTTTCTAACGCTATTTTTAGCTAAAGGAAGAGAACTCGACCGCGCGATTGGTATCGACTTTTAAATACAGGCACATGAACGCTTCCTGCTTTATTTGTTTTGTTCGATTATCACATTTTGCTCATGCAAGGCACTAGTTTTTATAATAAAAATAGTTTTATAAAATTCTTAAATTGTTTCAGCAAAAATCGTTTTGCTTCCTGAGAAAAGAGATTTATCTGGATTAATTCCACTCTTCTTCCTTTAAGATGGTAAATCAATGTCAATCGGAAATTTGTAATAACCGGATTATGTATCAGTTGGATATTAGATAATTTTTAACAATACTACGAAATGCGTGTGTTTTAATTAATGCACAAAAAGGACAAATTTTTAAATATTTAAAAATTTCACCAAATACATATCTGATAATTTTGTTGCGTTATTAAAATAATTATGTCGGACATTCAAATTGATTGCTAGAATATAAAAGAATTTTGCAGTTTTATTTATCATCATATTCTTCCAACATAATTGCTTTGATATCTCAACAAAATTATTTTCAGATCTAAATTTTTAGATACTTCAGAAAAATTGTTTTTTCTATTTACGTAATTCGATTAATAATTAAATTATCTCTTTCAAATCAAGATTCTCAATAAAATTCTAAAATTAAGCAGAAAATTAATAGATATTACACAAATGGTAACTGACAAGTAAATCTTTATTTGAAAATATATATAAAATTTTATTAATATTTAAAGTACCTATCATCGAACCTATCGAATAACGTGTCGATTAAGTGTCATCCATATTGATTAATCAAAATTCGCTCTTCGTTTTTTTCAAAAATTTATATAAATTTTTTTCAGAAAATTATATAAAATTATAACGAGTTATATGCAACACGTCAACGAAAATTATTTAATCAGATTTAAAAATTTATTCTAAATGGCGGTTCTTTTCTGAACGATTAATGCGATCACGTAGCACTAGTTGTTTTCATTACAAATAAACGTGGGCGCATCGTGTATATACCGGCGAGATGCGAGATTGTTAATCGCGGAGTTTAAGGCACAATGATTTAATCCTCTTTCTTTAAGAACTTGACAGAATACTGAATTAATTTTATTTTTACCTTCATTATTCTGAAATTTTCGAATTCTCAACCAGAACGAGAACCTATACAATTCTACATAATTATAAATTTAACATGCTAAAATTCATTCTTCTTCCAATATAACCAGGAATGTCCGATCGCATCATAATTTTATGCACAAGATAAATATAAAGAGAAAATTTATTTAACAAAGTAAGTATAATTTTAAACTATAATTTTAAAAATTCTTTCCCTATATAAACTAACTTGCCAATCAATCGACTGTGATATGATCGATTTTCTAATAAAAAAAAAAAAAAAAAAAAATAAGCAGAGCCGGTTAAATCGACAGTTACAAACGATCTGATGTGACCGGTGTTCCTTATCATTAAAAGCGATTCCCCGCGTGAGAGGGTTGTTTCGACGATTACGCGCTTACCTCGTTTGAGGGGCGCGACATGCATGACTCTTGGAGGGACCGATAAGAAGGGCGGACCGTGAGACCGCCTCTCATGACACCACGCCGCTACTTTCAGTGGAATCACCGCCGTTCGCGCCTTACGCAGCTACTGTCCTCGCGTCCTTCGTCGTCCTCGTCTACACGCACCCCTTCTTCCGCCTCCCCGTCGACCTCTGCTGCCCTTCCACTTCCGGGATCGGTCCCTGCTTGTCTTCAGGCCGCCCTTTTCAGCGTGCGCTTGTACTTTTCTCTCTCGCGCCCTACCCTCGTTCTCTCGTTAGCCCTACCTTGTTCCTTCCCTCGCGACAACGTACTCTCGCGTCGTACTCTCGATCCGGATTTATCTATTCTCTTCCCACGGGACTCCTCTCCTGTTATCCCTCTTTTTATTAACCGATTATCGCTGACGCTTCTGCCAAAGTGTCGCTCCACGATGCTCCTTCACCGAGCTTTCGCGCTTTACTGGGCGTTCGTCGGAGGCGAGGTCTACCAAAGTCGCTGGCGAGGGTGGAGAGACGTGAGGGCGAAGCGAGGAAAACCGGCGCGCGGCGCAGCGCGGCATGAGGAGACGCGCGCGTCGGAGAACTCGCTCGATACCGACGACCGAGCGACGCCACCGTGAATCCTTACTCCAGACAGTGTGAAGCATTCATTGGTTACCCCGCGTTTCTCCTGATTATCATGCGGCTCCTGCGTGTAAAAACACGCAAGACGTCTGGATGCTGGCGCTTAATTTTAATCCTCTGTTGTGGATGAATGTCGAGATATTCTCAATAATATAATTTTATCACATTAAGTATGCGTCATATGCGAGATATTTTCAACACACATTGAATGCCGCTGTTTGCACTATACAAATGATTCGATTGTTTCGATCGATATCATATATCAAAGTTAACTATACAATATAGTAGTGGTAGTTTCCAAATGAGAATAATTTAGAGCTAATGAATAAATAAATTATGTAGAATCAGGAGCGGGGTGGACGTGTAGATTGGCAATTTCCCCAAAGAATTTCGCAACATAACACGTGTATTCCATGTGCACGAATTATTCTGAACATCCTGTACATTGTAGAAAATACAAATAAATAACTACACATTCTCTATAATAATTCTCTATAATAAACTAATATTTGGAGACATTCTCTTTTCATTCGTACTGAAAGCACCTCGTTCTAGCTACTCTCTATTCTGTAAACTCTTTTTTAAAGACTAGCTCCAGCTTTCGAACTTGTACGTGTCTCATGTTTAGATCCAGATCAGTATTCAGATACAACCTTTGTAGAATAGAATCTTAATTTATACATATTATTTTTTAAAAATATAATATGATTAATAAAATAATATGATTTAATATTAATATATTTTTGACATCTAGATTAAGATCATAAATATTAATATTTCCAAATTTTTTACAATATTGTCATCCTTTGTATATTGTTTTTATTACTTCAATTTTACATTTATACCCGATTTTATATTATCAGATTTCGAGATCCATCACACTTATTGGTAAAATAAAAATTGATAAAAAAATAAATACGTTTTGTAAAAAATAAATGTGATTTTTATAAATTCATATTATGCATATATAAAATATCATTCTTAATGCCGCCATTTTTTCCTCATTACGGTGCAGTCGACACAATCTTCAAAATTAATTTGCTGCAAGATGTATAAATTATGTGAGTTCTTGCTTATACGATGATTGATTGAGGATTTAATTACTTTCATTGTTAGCTCTTTCCTCTTGAAGTCATTTTTTTTGTTTAAGGATTTAAGGACGGGATTTAGTTTGTTCCGTGGATGTTCTTCTTTCTAAGGAATTAAATTAATTTATTGTGTTAATTCGGAAAACGATATCGCGTATACGAACATACATATATATATGCATGTATATAAAGATGTGTACATTCGTATTACATATATAAATATATAAATGCGCTGTTTTTATATTTTTATAATATATCGTTGACCATTTTCCCTGTTTCTTCTTTCCAATGAGTTTTAGAGTCTAGGCCAGCAAATAAGTATTATTTGGTTCATGGAAAACAATGGTGCACGACATACATTCGGAAAAAATATATAACAATTGATTCTTGATACATATGTATACATTTATATATATATATATATTAACAAGTAAATAACATGAAAATAAGGACTCGGAATGCTTTAATGTGCGCTGATAAAGTTGCGATAGACGATGGTTGCGAGTACTCCGAGAGCGATTGGTATCAACCAGGACCACCAAGAACTGCAATTGCCAATCATCACATCACGATGCAGCATCGACTATTTATATGTAATAATTTAAAAGAAAAAAAGAAACCTGTGCCATTGTGTCTTTGTAAACAGGTATGAATACATATGTGTCTAATTTTATATATGCAGATGTAAAAATTATCAAATTTACAATTAAAATAATTTCGTTAAATGTAATGAATAATTTCGTTAAATGTAATTTTTTAAATGTAATGAAGTTAAAACAAAAAAAGCTAATACTGCTGACAGACTATTATAATATTGTCAAATATTAATATTGTAGATAAAACATTTGCATTGCAAAAGTTATGCATGAAATTTTTAAATAAACAAGGTTTAAATTTTTACATAATAGATAACTTGATTAAGAACATTATATTTTATATGAGAAGGAAATACTCAAATAAAATACTCAGTTTTAATAATCATTGCACTTTGGAAAGCACAAGTGCAAATATTTATAAAATCAACAGATAACATCAGATAAAGTATCATTTATGACATCATCTTTTAAACAAGTTAATATTTTTACATCATCTCTACATAATAATTAAAATTAAAAATAATTAAAAAGATGATAAAAAGTTATGTTAGTAGTAAATATTTTTTAATAGGAATATTTTTTAGAAACTGGGATTTGGTCAAAGGAAATGGCTTTCTGGAATATTAGTAAATATGATTATTTCAGAATACTGAAATATTAAAAATGTTATCAAACTCATAAAATAATATGATATAAAAGTGGAAATAAGATCATACCTAGCATTATCTTCCTCTGCATTTCCATTGGACCAATCTCTAGCTCTCTTTTCCGAATCTTTTGTCCTTTCTTCCTAAGATGCATATAAGAAATGAATAATAATGAAAAATGAAAAAATGACAAGATAAAATTTAGAATAAAATTAAGTTAATTTCTTACTTCTATCAGTTCTCCAATTTTGTAGGATTCCATCAAAGTCCTTGCATCACTCGAGTGTCCAATATCTTCAAAAGGTTCCGTAGCATCCTGTCCATTTTGTTCTAAAAGCACCTCTTCGCCACCAGGATGCTATTAAGAAAACAAAGGCTACTTCTAATAAAAATAATAAATTTATCAAACATATCCCATTAAGTTAAAAGCTTAGATGTTTATCAATTTCAAAATTTAATGAAGACACAAGTCAATATCTATAATATTATCTAAGTTTGTTTTTTCTATATGAAAAAAAAAAAGAGATAGCAACCTCGTTGAGAAAAGTAGTAACATCATAGACGTTATTATGTATGATGATCCACGTTTCTTTGGAACCAGCATGCTTCGCCACTTCTGCCCGAGTAAACAATCTTTCGGTCTTAGCGGCAGCGGTGGTGGTGTCGTCCTTAACGTCTTTTGATGCCATTTTATTGATACCTTGGTATAATCTTTATTTCTCTTTGCCGATTGCGCCTCGCTGATTCCGAGATTGTCACTCTTTGGCAAATAATAGGCAACTGACTCAGCGTTTCCTCCTCAATTTCGTCACTGACGTGCGCATCGAATCGGCAACCAACGGCAAATAACGTGAAACGTTTGTCGACAAATGGACTTCGATCACCATGCAATCATAGTTTTTAATCTACACCTGCGATTTTGTAGTATCATCGGCAACTGGTTCCGGCGTCTGCGGCCCAATTTCTGGAAGAACAAGAAACTTGTACAAATTTTTAAGCAATTCCGGATTGGTTTACGAACACACCGCGCTGTTTCGAGGGTGACACGCTCGCGGCCGATTACAATAAAACGTGTGCGATTATTTGCACTTTCTGCAGAAACGGCATGAATGTATTTTTAGAATATTATTTATACTGCTGAGCTATCAAAATGGATAAGAGACGTACATTATTATGGAATTCAATAATCTAAAAACGACTCAGAAGCTAATTTATTATAATTTTTTTTATCTTCAGGAATTTTCAATTTTCTTTTTAGTTGAACTTTTTGCATTCATTTTTTTTTGTTTTAACGCAGAAGGAAAAAGAAAAACAGCTGTGCAAAAAGTTCAACTAAAAAGAGTAGATCTTTTATATTTATTCTAAGGTTAGCCCTGCGCACAATGGGAAAAATATTAGGAATAAATATTAAATGGAATTTTGGAAATGAAAATTCGAAATAAAAATTAAACGCATAATAAACACAAGTATAAGATATGGTTATAGTTCATACTTTTTTAAACTTATTCTTTTTAGCTGAACTTCTTGCACTATTCGTCTTTTCTCTTTTTCTCTCTATATTGAAGAGAAAAGGAAGAAAGATAAAAAGTGTAAGAAGTTAAAAAGAATAGATCATAAGAACAAATCTGAAGTTTAGGTCATACGCACAACGGAGGAACAAGACTAGGGTTATATTCCAAAATATCCTCTCCGAGGAAAATTTTACTCGATATAGTATACGTTACATGTATTATATATTTCGAGTAAAATTTTCTTGAAAAAAGATGTTTTGGAATGTAACCTAATAAATATTAAATTTTAGAAATAAAAATTAGGAATAGAAATTAAACATAACGAATGCATTAATGTACTCATAGTACTACAGCAGAAAATTCATAAAATCCATGAAGAACAACTCGCTAGAGCCAATGAAACAATCACTAAAGCAGAATAAGTGAAAAGATGAAAGAAAAGCGAACAGAAGTTAAAAAAAGCGCGAAATAAATTTTCCACTTGCAATCATTCAGACAGAATTGATTTCGCGCGAGCGAGGATTTTTTTTTATTCTTTTAAATTATCTTATTTCGTTCTTCATCAATCATTTTGCAAACAATAATCATTTTAATAAATCATTTTGTTTTTCTAAGATTTCACAATGACTCTTGATTAATACCTTAATTTAGTCATTAATTAACAGAAAAAGATTTTCTTGTTTCACGAAGCGCTTTCTCGTTCGACGATAAAAAAAAATGGATATTTCGCTTCATGAGAAACAATCCAAAAGAAAATAGATGAAAACGAACATTTCATTGCCGGGTGTAAAACCGGTATCTTTGTCCTGTGTGGTACCTCAGTCAACTTACGAGAGAAGAAATAAAGCCGATATTGAACCAGCACTATCTCAGCTGGAATCAGTTTCGAGTCTGCGTAATTTGAAACTCGTGATGTTTCGCAAATTATCTTCTAATTGATTTATGTCACGATCACCTTGGCTGTCTTATTCATTTTCTACGTAACAAATCCAATTAAACGTAATGTCGGAGAGTTGCTCATGATACAACAATGTAGTATAGAATGCTACTGAGTTATTTTTTATATGAGCAATGTTGATTGTAAGAAACGTGTATGAAAAGGGAAAAACAATACTCAATAGTCAAACATGAATCTCATTGATTGCATTCTGGCATCTCTGCTTGTCCTTACGTTCTTAGCATCAGCAGAATGTGAATTTATAACATTTGGTATAGGTGCCAGTATATTAAGCACTGCAAGTTATTATGCCTATGAAAAATACAAATGCATGTACATGGAGTGCTGTACAAATGAATACATTCTTGCTGACTTAGATAGTGAGTATGGTCCAATGATCTTTAGTTTTTCCTTTCATGGAAAAAATATCTTGAATCTCATACTGATTTTGTTAAATTGAATTTAAACATCTAACAATTATTGGTAAAGAACATATGTTTGATAGAGTTTATTGAAATTGACTTGACAATTTCTTGTAATATTCTATGAAAAGTTCATTAGATTTTATATTTAATTATCAACTTATATCAGATTATTATTATACTTTGTGTATTAAAGAGATTTTTCCATAATTTTTATAATGATATAATTGTTATGATACTTTTTCTATAGAGATAAATTTTTTAATTTTGAACAATTAGTATCTTTTATATTTTTCAAATTTAAGAATAATATTTGATTAATATATAAAATGTAACCTATAAGATCTGGTATTTATATATATTTTTTAAATGTATTAGAAAACAAAAATATTAATGAATTATTAAAATTACAGGACTAGAGTATAAGCTGACTTCTAAGTTATTTGGACAGAAAATTGCTCATGAAACAATTATAAATGCACTACGGGGCCATTTACATAATTCACCCAAAGCACTAGTTATGAGTTTTCATGGCACACCAGGAACTGGCAAAAATTACGTAATAGAGATGATTGCCAAATCTTTTTATAAAAATGGTGTTAAGAGCCAGTATTTTTATTTTTTCAATGGCCGTAATGAGTTTCCTTTGCAACGAAAAGTAGATGAATACAAGGTACAGAAAAGTTTATTATAATACAAACCAAAAAAAATAAATAAATATGAAATGTAAAATTTTTCAGGATAAATTGTACAAAATCATCTCTGATGGTTTACAAAAATGTGAAAGATCAATGTTTGTATTTGATGAGGTAGATAAAATGCCAGAAGGCCTGCTAGACATGTTGGTCCCTTTTCTCGATTATAACAGCTATCACAAATCTACTAAGCATAGTGAATCTGTGTCTCAGAACAAAGCTATTTTTATATTTCTCTCAAATACCGGTAGCACTCAGATAGTGAAGCATCTCACAAATCTGTGGGAGAAGGGCAAGAAGCGAGAAAATATGCGATTACAGGATTTCGAGAAATTGATATCTGATGGAGCATTTAATGAGAAGGGTGGTTTTCATCATAGCGACACTATACAGACTAGTGTGATTGATCATTATGTACCTTTTCTGCCTCTCGAAGAGGTACATGTTAGAAAATGTCTATCGAGAGCTTTCATGGAGCGGGGGGTCACTCCAACAGAAGAAATGATAGAGGAAGCGTTATCGTACTTAACCTTTGGCCCTGAACCGCATAATCTGTATTCGATGGCCGGCTGTAAGAGAATAGATCAGAAAGTTGCAGCTATTGTGCATCGCAAACAAAAAGAGCTTAAAACTATTGATTGAAAACTAATTTAAAATATTTGAATTTGAAATACAAAAAAATTCAAAAATACTAAATAAAAATAACAAAACTAAATGAAACAATGTCACGCATTTATGTAACATCTCGATAAGACCCTTTATTTGATAGAATTTCTTTATTGGCACACTCAGAAAAATAATGTCTAACAAATTAAAAAAATAAGTAAAATTAATTTTTCGTACTTATATACGCGAAAGAGATAAATATATTATTATATATATATATTTTTGTTATCTATATTTGTATATATATATATATATAGTTATTCGATAGTCAGCAATATAATTAGTGTAAAAAGAGAATAATTTCTCAATTTTTTAAGATAAATAATCGATTTTGTTGTTTGGAGTAATAATATAGAATATTGAACAAATTTTACAGGCCATTAAGATTTGATATATTTTTCGCCGCGATTTTTAAATTTGATACTTAAATTACTATCTTCCCTATTTGGACAGAATTTTGATTGGCGCTGGTAGTAATTGAGCTTATGATAAATTAAGATTTTTAGGCAGCTTTCTTTTTATGAATTTTTAACAATTAGTCCAAGTAACAAATAATAGAAATTTTTAAACATTGAATTGTCCGAAAAATTTGCCGATTTTTTATTAAAGTCTATAAAAAAGATACTCTTTTTTACATGTAAATATTTTCTCAATTCACAATGTATTTGTGATTTGAGAAAATATTATTCAATTCACAATCTATTTTGTTTCACTATTTTTTGCTTCTTTGTTTCACCTTCTTTTAGTATGTTATTTAATCCTAATTTCTGAGACTCGTTGTCAGAAAATTGTAACAAATAATTTGTGATTTTATCCAAAAATAAAACATTTTTTCCATTTAAAACATTCTGAAAAAATGGAACAAAAGTTTGATAGAGCAATATGGTGGATGAGACAAAACATTCCATCCGAGATTCAATAATTTTTGTCGAGTAGTTAAAAACATATAGTTATCCTAGTGAAATACAATACTACTTTCTTATTTACAAGATTGTTTCTTCTGTTGTTAATTTTTCAAGCAATGTAAAATGCACACACGGTGTCATCACAAATCGCAAATTGAAATGCGATCAAATGTTTTACTCCCTTTATTTATATGGTATCGTAGCAATTTATCAAGTCAAGTTTTATCAAATGGATGGTAGTTTTTGAAATCTTAAGTATATCTACGAATTGTATAATGTAGATTACGTTTTACCATTATCTTCATTTGCTTTACAGCAGTAACAAAAGGTTTACCTGATCATCTTTCATTTTCGAGATTAAAATCAGTTCTAGATTTCATAAATCATTTACAAACAGTTTTTTTCAGTTATAATATCATCTCCATAAACTATACAAATCTTGTTATTTGTTTTTATCTTTAAAAAAAAAGAAAAAACATCATATTGAAAATACAGTTTCTGATTCTCTATTTTCATCACTCGACAAATTTTTGATAGCTTTAAAGATTTTCATGTTAGAACAACGAATATAAACTTTCTGCTTTCAAAATACATGTACGGTATGACATTGGATAAAAGATTGAACTGTAACAACACTTATTAAAAATTGTTAAGACAATAGTAACAACACCTCTTAAAAATCGATATCTTCCGGACAATTCGATATAATTCTTTTTTTTAAATATAAAATATCATGAAAGTCAATTGATAGAAAAATATCGAATGTTATCAAGAATTAAACACTTGTAAATGATAATTCTTTGAACTATAATTAATAACGCGAAACAAACATATAAGTTTTTAAATATACTATATAATATATTGTAGATATAACAATTATATTTCATAATGAGAAATTGCTCTCTTTGTTCTTCAATTATCGAACAGCCTGTATACAATTTGTGTATGCATTTGTTCACAATTTAAATGTAACTAGAAATACTTGTTATGCGGAAAGAATTATGTACATAATAATGTCTGGCAATTGACTCTTATTTAATCTAATCATAAAGAAAAAAGTTGTCGGCAACATATAGACTGTCATATATACAATATACCTGTCAAAAATAAGAATCAACAAATATAAGATATCTTTTAGGCGGAACATTCATTTTTTTGTTAGAGTTTAAGTGGAGAACTATGCACCTATAAAAATGTTAATTTCAATTCTTTGGTATTTCTCTCCTTTTAATTTTCTTTAAGAAAAATGTAATTCGCGATTTCTCAAAGAAAACAATCAGACTTCCATTTTTTTGCTGGGGATATTTTGTATGCATATATTTTTCTAAACGTATTTTTGGACAAACAACTTTAGTCTTTATGATGTCATCTAATAATAATCAGGAATGCCGCATCGCAGTAAAAAATATACGTAATTATTATTTTTATAATTCTATATATGTAGCTAAAAAGTATTTATCTAAGTTGTCTAATAGCATTTTCGGTTGTACTACATCGGGCCAGTGCATACTAAAGACCGTACACATGAAATATCTAAATAATAGCATAATATCATTGCTTTGATAATGAAATTATTTAGTAAAATAATATGACAAATTCATTGTTGACTATATATAAACTCAAAGTGTATATAAATTTCAAAGTGTGTATTTTTACATTTCCATAATTTCATGTATATCACTATTTTGTATGCATCAATCCGGTGTAGTGCAATGAGCTGAAAACGCTATAAGTGTAGCGCCGGGCATATATCAGTGTGATGCGTTTGGATCTTATTAAACACAAGAGAACAGTAGTATTGAAGATGCATATACAAACGCGCGAATTGTGCATACATTTATCTACATTTTTCTTTTTTTCAACACCAAAATGCATCGTAAATAATTCGTCCTCTTATTTTTTCCTACTGAGGTATGCGTCGATAGAATTATCATGATTCCATCGTGAGGTGATTACCACAGAAAAATCAACAAATATTAGATCGCTGTATATAAAATGCCGGTTCTATTAAAAAAGATCATTAGAATTAAGAAATTTATAATAAAATTTAAATTATATTTGACTTTATGTATTGTATAAAATCTCATTTTTTATATTTTATTTTACTATTGTATACATTATATAAATATTTAATAAACTTCATGCGTGCAAAATCTTTTTTTAAATGTAAAAATTTCACAACATATTTGATTTCAAAACATATAGAGTGATATAAGCGTTTTTTGTAAAAATATTTTACAAATTTTTGTCAATGCATTTGAAGCTTGTAAATTTATATTCAAAATATAAAAAGATGTATTTTTGTAAAAAAATCATATTACTTTATCCTAATATATAATAATTAAAAAATATCTAACCGAAAATTTCGAAGTCCGATATATTATACGCAACGATATAATATATAACAATTCAACTTTAATGAATCTATTCCTCTTCCACGTATTCTTTTGGGAAGAACCCTACTTGATCACCTATTTTACCTTTCCACCATCCTTTGGCATCACCTTCCTTGCTCAACACTACGACTCGACAACCGCGTCGTAAGCTTAATTGATTACGTTCGCAGCCACGAAAATCAAATAATGCTTTAGCCAGGACACGTCGATACGGCCATAATAGACGTTGATCTAATTTTTCGAAATTTTCCGAGAGTGACGCGCGCTCGTAGTATTCGACCAGCTCAACAACGCTCTTGAAGAATCGAGACTCGCTGAGATAATATAAATCTGCGCCATCCACATCACGTTTGAATACTCGGATATGTTTGACTGCTCCATCCGCTCTAAAAAGATATATATATATATATATATATATATATGTGTATATTAATAATATCGTCTATTACATATATATATATATATATATATATATGTATATTAATAATAATACGTTCAATTCTAAAAAGAACTTTAGAAAAATTAGTAAAATAATTTACTAATAATAATTTTAAAATATTTAAAAAATTAAGATATTCATCATGAAACAAATGAAAAGTTTTCTTTTTTTTAAATTGTAACAAAGATAATATGGAAGTAAAATTAAATAAAATTTTTCTAAAAATAAATTGCATTCTGCATTCAAACTTACTTGATGCTGAGAGCGTAGTTGGTTTCATGTTTGAGACGTGACTGTCCGGCCGGACGTACGCGCAGCATGTAGGTACCATCCTCGCGGGATTCCAGTTTATTGGAAGCTGCATCTCTACCCATTTCCCCAACGAACCACAGTTTTGCAGCAAGCGCGCGCTCGCAGGGTAATGGTGGAGGTGGTGTCGGTGATGGTGGTGTGGGCATACAACGACCTGAATGCGCAATACATTGTTTGTGCACAGCAAGGCGACATATCTCGCATCTGTAACCCTATATACAACATTTAATTAAGAATATATGAGTGAGTTTTTTTGAAAAGTTCAAGAAATTTGAAAAATGTTAATTATGATTATTGATTTTTTAACTTATTTTTGAAAAAGTGATAAATCACTTTAATGTTTACTTTGAATATAAATTTTTGAAAGTGTGCTAATTTTGTATCAATTTTCGATGCATTTTTATCTATTCTAGTCTTTAAAATTTTATAATTTAATTAAATAATCCTTAATAAAATATATAAAAAAATCTAAGAGAATATATAACTTTTGTGTTTTCGACTTTTAATAAGAATTGTGACCACGCTCTGTCTATTTGCAGTAACAAACAATTGATAGTGCACATAATTAAATTTTTCGTGAATTGATCATTTACCTGGAATATGCGACCTTTAAGGAATTTTCCGCATCGTTGACAACTCCTAGGAGTGTCGAACGTCGTCAACTTGAACTTATGATTGGTATTACGACAAGCTGCAGGATTAACATTATCCATTGCATCCTGTAATGCCTTTATCCACATTTGTTTCTGCTCCTCTGTTCTTGCATATAAAGTGTACGCCGTATATGCCTGTTTATGTACAAGTAGCCACTGATACGACCAACGTGAATCTCGGCCCAAAGTTCGTCGTCCTATGTGATCTTCTAATCTGTAATTATCTAATCTTAAAGTTTCTCGATAACAGTACTGATCTCCTCTGCCAGCTTTGCAAATCAATACTACTTGCTCGAATACGAATGCATAACGAGCTTTTATCCGTTGGTCGCCGTGAGCTTTCACCTACAAAAGAGCTGAATTAATTATCGTGTTTAACCGTATAAAGTTAACTTTAGAATCTATTGTAATGTTTTTTTACAAATTAATTAATTAACTAATCTATCTTTGCTCGAAAATATATTGGACAAACCTTGAGCTCGCCATCACGAAGTAATCGACCAAAATCTTTCAGTTGTGTATCCTCAGGCACATCCCAATCGATTATTGATGCTTGGATATCTTTTATGATATCCAGCGTGTCGGAATCGCGTTTTACTTCATTTATATACTGAGCGACATCGACCATTACTTCTCTCGCCTTCGCCAATGCACGACAATCCTCGATCCATTCGCGCGGGGTTTCTTCCACCAACTTATCCAATAGTAAGTGGTACTTGAGCACCCTTTGCATTGGCACAGATAAAATATCGCGCAACTTAAATTTACCGTTGTTAGCTTCTTGTTGGCACCTCTGTAATAAATATTAATATTAAAACAATATATATATATATTATTTTAATCAATTAATAATTTTGGCTCAAATTTCTAAAGGCTTTATATTATATAATAGAATATGAAATCAAACACAAAAAAATATCGCGAAATATTGATTTTTTTCTCTTGATGAAAAGCTTGAATAAAACATAAAAGTAAAACACAAAGCCTTCAATTTTCTCTTATTTAGTTTCATTTAATTTTTAAATTTCATGTTTTCACAATGTGCACTGCGAAACTTACAATAACTTCTTGATTGACTACTTCGTTACGTGCGCAGATTTCCTGCAGAGTATTTTGTGCTAAAGTGAGATTTGCGCAATATTCGCCATATATAAGAAACTTCTCCCGCCAATCCAAAAAAACCTGGGCGAGCGCGGCGCCGTTTCGTGCTTTACGCAGTTGACTGTGGAAGCCTACGTGGATTTCCGAGAGCTCCTTGATACCGAAGAAAATGCGAGCTGTGTCTTCGGCTCGGAGTAATGACGATAACGGTCGAGCAAAATGTCTATACAGACTACTAAGAACTTCTGTGTAATTTCGCTCAGTCTCGACAAGCTCCTGGATCACGTAATCTCTTTTCTCACCTCCAGAAATGGCACTACTCTGTTGCACAAAGATTATCTCAATAAAGAACATTATTTTTATACAAATTATAATATATTATGCAAGGTGTAAAGCATAGCGCATGGTGGATAACAAAATTAATTGTACGTAAATATGCTAATAATAAATAAGAAGAGTTTTTGCTTAATTCCCCTATTTTCAACAACGAGATTAAACATTTAATACATTCATGCAATTTTTCTTAAATGCACAATTTTTCTGATTAACTGCTTCTTCTTTAAATTTTTTGAGCAGTGGCCAAAGAAAAAGAAAATTTGACATCTTATACACAGAATATAAAAAAATTGAAAACTGAATAACGATAAGGCAAAAAAATGATGACCTGCGCAATAGACGGAGGAGATGGTAAATGCAGACTACAGAGGTCCTGGTAGATCTCCTCACTTTGCGCGTGGCTGCAAAAAGCTCCGTACCCATCTTCTTCGGCAACTGGATCCTCGTTATCCCCCCTGCTGCCCGTCTCGTCACCTTCTCGTCGCCTAAATCTCCTGCGACGACCTTCATCTTCGCGGCTTTAGCATAAAAACACGAAAAAAACACGGCCATGCATTATGACATGCATATTGACGGGAATTGCTAAATTCTCGGCGGAAATTAAATTATAAATAGCACAATTATAAGGTCTGCCACTGATGATAACTGCGATCGATACGCATCTTTAACATGAAGAGTGAAACAGTGCCACCATTGTATCATGTACGCGATATATATAATTTAATGCATTAACATATAATTTAATGCAATAGTATATAACACTTATATAGATAGTTATATATCTTTTAGAATATCACTCCAAATTTATTGCACAAAACAGTAGGCTGTAAAATAGAACCTCTGTATTTATATAAAATTGTATACACAATAAAAACTTTCAATATTTTTAAAAATAAGCCTTTATTAGAACAAATAAATATAAAGTTAATGTCTTCTAGAATAATAAATATAGCATATGAATCAGATAAAAATTTGGCATTATAAAACAAGTATTAGAATAAATTTCTATGTGTTAAAACAACAGCTAAAACGACTTGAGGCAAAAATAAAATTTGAGTAAAAACATAGTTGTTCGAATAATAGGTTTTAAATCATAGTATAACAACTTGTTTGTGTATATAAGAACGTTTCGATTCATGCTTTGGATAGTTTACTATTTATAGATTGAAGAGATCTAATATTTGCGAAAGGATACAATGGTGGCTAGTATTCTTTCATAAAATATTCTTAAGATTGACAAGCCGTAAATGTACCTTCTCCACGGAAGGCCAGCTACGCTGAGAATTGCTCGAGAAACAAAGCAATTCTTGATAAACCCGAGACTCATCTATGTCCACAGCCCTAGTTTTTATGGTAAACGCCACCAATCCATGTGTGGCGCTAAATCAATTAATAGAAAAATTACTAAACTCTTCCGTTATTTTTGAAAATGGAGCAATGGAATTATCTTTTTTATCGATCGTTATTTAAAAAGATATGCTTGTTTGTATAATTTCAGCCAGAAAAATAAAGACTTCTTTTAAAATAGAGAAATCTTAACTGCCTAAGATAAAATACAACGCTTTTTGAACTTCAATATTCAATTGTCTATACACACACACACACACACACACACACACACGCGCGCGCGCGCGCGCGCGCGCCACACATACAGACACAGATACACATATCACCAAAGTTAATTTAATTATCTTAGCAATAAACTCTTACCCTGCTCCAGCACTTTGTAAATCTTTATAAATATCCTCTTGTGATCTTCCATGACCAACAGAGAATCCACTGTAACAAATAAGATATATTTCCTAGTTATTAATCTATTTATTTTAATTATGACAAATCGATAATTAATTAAATCTTAATTACTTACGGTATACCCTTTCGCCTTAATCGAGGACAGTTGGACAAGGCAGAAAGTGTGCAGAGGACACGATGAAAGTTAGAAAGATCGAATAACATAAATGGTTCGAAGAGATCCGAATCAGATAGGCCAAAAACGCTCGAGCACACTGATAAGAACACTTTTATATTACGCAAGCATAAGAACTGTGCCATTTGTGGCTTCTGATTCACGTCCTTCATGTCTATGCATCCTGGATCCACAATATTCAAGAGGTTGCACAGCAATACACCATCTCGTAATGTATAAGCCAGATCAAATGCAGTTGCTTGTGGCCAATTGGCTTTATGATCCGCTCGTAATGCACCACATCTAGTCAACCAGCTGGCACACTCATGCCAGCCCTTGCCAGCATCCGCGCTCTCTGCCCTATTCATTTTGATACTTCTTTGATCGTTTAATGGTTAGGGCATTGAAGGCACATTTGTAATTTTGTAGATATGTGCATTAAACTCCAAAATTTTATCAGTTAAGCTGCTACCTGTTGAGTATAAAATTATCACAAATAAATATAAATGTATAAAAGTAAATATAAAATGACTGCTATAAGAATATATATACAAAAGACACTTTTAAGGTTTCTACGTTGAATCTGACGAAGTGAACTGCAATGTTCACGAAATGTTGACATTCAACAAT